TTCATTAATTAATCCAGTTGATGTCCAAATCATGTCCAACCTGGACCATGATTTGTGTCGATTAGAATAAAAAGTGAATTCTTTTTTATCTTTACTCCTGACTCTCCATATGTCAACTAAGCAAAATTCCTCCATCATTTCCAAAAAAGCTTTAGGGAGTTCATTTCCTTGTTTATACCTTTTATGTAAGTTTTCCTTATCAATTGTTCCGTCGAAGACCGCGTTAAAGTCCCCCATTAGACAGATTTCATCAAATGTTTGCTTGGCAATTCTCTCTTTGACTACTTGATAAAATTTTTCCTGGTTTTCGTTAGGTGCATATATATTTACTATTAGCATCTTCTTGTTTTGTTTTTAGATTTGAATTATTACTATTCGTCCGTCTTCTGAGTTAAAAATCAACTCTGGTGATAACTTTTCTTTGGCGTAGATCACCACCCCTCTCTTTTTTTATATATCAGCTGCAACAAATGACTTTCCCAATTTTCTCGGTTGTAAAAGGTGTTGATCATCTTTTTAAATATGTGTCTCTTGCGGACATATCACTTCTGCGTTGATTTTCCATAGTTGGTGAAATACTCTTGATCTTTTCTGTGGTGAATTTAGTCCATTTACATTGATTGATATTAACTTCAATTTTTGCTTATTCATCTTTATCTTGCTCTGTTTCTTCCTTTCCTCTCTGTTTTAGTCGTGTGATCATTTGAAATGGGTATATTTCTCTTCTTTGTCTATTTTTCTTTCTTTTGTCTTGTTTAGGCTCTGTTTTATCTGTACTTTCTTGTTGTTGACGTTCTTCTTCATTCGATTCCTCCTCTTCCCATCCAAGATCTTCACCATAGGTCTCCAAAAAGTTTTCTAATTTAAAAATCTTTGCTTGTTAAAAATCTTTGGTTTTTTGATGAAAAAAGAACCGGCCAGCAGCCTGCCATCCCTGGTGGAGACCGTGTCGGGCTGGGCATTGGAACACCCTAGACCGATTGTCCCATGTGATTTCAATGTCTATGCGGACAATGTGGACTCCACTCAGGCGATGCACCTAGTGTCATCCGTGGTGGCGCTGGGGCTCTCTCAATATGTAACGACTCCCACTCACCGGGCTGGACACACGCTCTGATCTTCGTGGCAGGGGTCACAGTGGACCGAGTCACAGCCTCAGCAGTGCCATGGATGGACCATCATGCCCTGAAAGCCCATCTGAATGTTTCATCCCAACCCTGTTTGGGCGGTGAGCAGATTTCAGCTTGCCCATGGAGCCAAATAGACCCTATGTGGCTTCAAATGGCCCTGCGGGATCCGATGCCCCCTGGCAGCTCGTTAGATGAGCTTGTGGAAGATTGGCACAGCTGACTCTCAGTGGTCATCGATGAGATCGCTCCCCGACGCCCTCTGCGCCCTCACTCATGGCTGGCTCCTTGGTTTACCCAGGAGTTGTGGCTGATGAAGCGAAGGCTAAGATGGCTAGAGAGACAGTAGCGGTGCGCCTGCGATGAAACCACAAGAACATCTTATAGGACATTTATGAGATCCTATAAAATAGCAGAGTATTATGCAGCCACGATTGCGTCTGCGAGCTCATGCCCAGCCCAATTATTTAGAATAATTCGGTCTATGACTGTACTGCCACAAGGCAGACCAATTGTTAGAGAATTGGACACTGGCTGTGAGGCCTTTGAAAGCTACTTTGCAGATAAATTCCTGTCGCTCCGCCATGACCTCCCCACCACAGTTGAGACAGTAAGTGAACTCGAGGCTCCTTGCATGTCTTCTAGTCAGGTTATGGATTATTTCAGTCTGCTCAGCCTGGAAGAAGTTGACAAACTGCTCTTAACTGTATGCCCTACCATGTGCTGCCTTGACCCGTGCCCATCATGGCTAATTAAAGCTGGCCATGATGGGTTTTGAGATGCCCTAAGGGAGAATATCAACAAGTCCCTCTCGGAGGGACAGTTCCCTAGGGCACTCAAGGAATCTGTGGTTCTTCCCCTCCTGAAAAAGCCATCTCTGGATCTGGCTGAATTGGCTAGTTATCAGCAGGTCTCCAATCTGCCCTATTTGGGCAAAATAATTGAGAGGGCCATGACAATTCAGCTACAGAGCTTTTTGGATGACACTTCCATTCTAGATCCTTTCCAGTCCCGTTTCCACCCAGGCCACAGGATGGAGACGGCACTGGTCGCCCTCACGGATGACCTCTGGAGGAATCTGGATCACGGCAGATTGGCACTGATGTTGCTGTTGGACCTGTGGGTGGCGTTCGACATGATCAACCATTAGTTACTGATCCACATCCTCACCGATAGTGGAGTCCAGGGGCCTGCCTTGCAATGGCTGGCTTCTTTCCTTCAGGGTCAGGGACAAAGGGTGGCACTAGGGGAGCAGTTATCCCAAAGGCACCCACTGATTTTTGGAGTGCCCCAAGGGGTTGAGTGCCCCAATGTTATTTAACATCTACATGTGCCCCCTTGCCCAGACTGCCTGGAGGCATACTGTCACCAGTATGCGGATGACACCCAACTCTATCTGTTGTTGGACAGCCAGTCTGACTTCAAACCATAAGATCTGGGTCGGGCGTTGCAAGCCATGGCTGGTTGGCTCAGACTGAGCTAACTGAAACTGAATCTGATGCAGACAGAGGTTCTGTGCCTGAGCCAGGGCGGCCCAAGGGTAGGGATCCTACTTCCAACTTTCAATGGGGCACCATTGGTGCCAGCGCTGGAGATTAGGAGCTTGGGAGTGCTCCTGGATGCCTCACTAACAGCAGTCACTGCAAAATTAGCCTTTTACCACCTCCAGCTGATTAGGCAGTTGGTTCTCTTCCTCGAATGCAATGACTTGGCGACAGTGATCCATGCGATGGTCACCTCGAGATTGCACTACTGTAATGCTCTCTACATGGGGCTGCCCTTGATCCAAATCCAGAAGCTACAGCTAGTGCAAAATGCTGCAGCCAGGCTTCTGATGGGCCTCCCTATGCGGGACACCATCCAGCCTGTGTTGAAAGCACTGCACTGGCTGCCGATAGCATACCGAATTCACTTCAAGGTGCTGGTACTTACCTTTAAAGCCCATTATGGTCAGGGGCCCACATACCTGAGAGAATGCCTAGAGAATGCCTTTCCCTACATGTTTCCCAGAGAGGACTGCGCTCAGGCTCACAAAATCAATTTGCCTCCCAGAGCCAGGGCCTTCTCTGTCGTGGCTCCGTACTAGTGGAATGAGCTCCCAGAAGAGATCAGGGCTCTCAGGACCTTTTACATTTCTGCAGGGCCTGCAAGATGGAGCTCTTCCACCAGGCCTTCGACTAAGGAGCCGCACCAAATAACATCAAATAACTGAGAAGTGACAGTACCCTGGTCCTTGGCTTATCATCAACAGCCTGGGCTGTTGCCTAAATATAGAGACCAAGATGAGCCAACCACCAATATAGGTCATCTGATTACAACACTAGTATTGGTTCTGCCTTCTGTAAGCATTCTTATAAGTACCTGATCACTTATTAACATTTTATGATAATGTAGAGTTTCATTATTTGTTTTAAGAGTGCATATAATTTGTTACCTATATGTTTGATCTTTTGTAAGCCGCCCTGAGCCCGCTCCGGCGGGGAGGGTGGGGTATAAATTGAATAAAGTTATTCACAAACTCTTTTGTTTCTCAACAGTTTTCTGCACTGCATCCACAAGCATTTTTTCCCCTTGTCCTCTTCTTTCATTGCTTTCTCAACTCCTTCTAGCATGAGCTGTGTCATGTTGAATCCCACAATATCCATCACCTCTACTTTCATTGTCTCATGTTTTAAGAGGTTAATTATGTTTCTATATTTTGTGGAAAATTTCACCAAATCACTTTTACTCTTAGGAATGAAGTCCTTAAAGTACTTCATAACTATACTGAAAACAATCTGTCTTCTCACTCGGAAGTCATGATGTTTCCCCAAAAATGCAGTAATGGAAACAGAAAAACACAAACTACATTCACAAAAATCAAAGAAATACTGACTTTACTGACCAATTTTTTTTAAAAAACTGACAAATTACTGACCAAGATGAAAAAACTGACTTTTACTGATTTTACTGACCATTTTCCACCCCTGCATTACACACTGCTGATGTAATTTCCCTCCTCAAACCTTGTCCTCCCAAGGACGCATCCCAAATCTCCAGGAATTTCCCAACCTGAAAGCTGACAACCCTAGCTGTGAGATCTGGTGTGATTCCAGGAGATCTCCAGATCCCATCTGGAGGTTGGCAACCCTAGGATAGATGGAAGCACAAAAAGGAGAGAGACTATGGGGGCTTTCAGGAAAGGGGAAAAAGAAACATTGGGGGAGGGGGAAATGCAGGTTCCCCCTTGTTACATTATAGACCACCCTTCTTCCTAGAAACACAGTGGTGTACATGTTTCTTTTCTTCTCCGATTATGGCCTCACAATCCTGTGGTAGGCTTAACTGAGAACCCAGATGGCTCAAGGAGAGCTGGTAAACTTCACAGTTGAGTGGTAATTTGAACATAACCACTACCTATAACTGGCTGTTTGTGATCCTATCAAGTAGAACAATTAAGAGTGATAAAAGCTCCTGCCACGGCTACAATTTCATTTGTGGCACAAAAGATCCACAAAAAGTCATGCAATACATTCATAAATAATTTTTTTCTGTTTAGAGTATGTTTTCAAAGTGATATTTACTTGCTAGGTGGTTTTCAGTGGAATTCTAAAGCAGAGTTAACCCCTTCTGAAACCACCGACTCCAATGAACTTAGAAGGATGTTAACTCTGTTATGGACAAACAGCAAACAATTACTACCCTGTTTCCCTGAAAACAAGACCTACCCCAAAAATAAGCCCTAGCAGGATTTCTATGCATTTGTGGTATAAGCCCTAGTGTGTCTTCTTGAGAAAAAAATAAATATAAGACAGTGTCTTATTTTCGGGGAAACACAGTAGTTAACAGCACTCATTCAGTTACTCAAATAATCTTGTACAAAGGTCTACTTACTCTAAAAGGAAATGCTGCTGTGACCCAATCACAGAGCCAGGTCGGCATATTCTAATCCAGGCAATAGTTTCAGCAGCAGTCATTCTATAATGCTTCATCATATAACATCCTATAAGGGTGCCAGTTCTACCAAGGCCAGCTGTGTAAAACACAAAACAAATATTTTCTTCTTCTGTCTTTTGTAGGAGATCATGCATTAAAGTTTCAAAATCAACTGGACAAAAATGTAATATTGTTGCATAATTGCCACTATGACCTAACCATTTAGATGAGGCCTTTACAATATGGTACCCCCAACATCAGGCCATGTACTGTGGCTTGATAAATTCTCTATGCACCCAACCAGGCTCTTTAGATCATCTCAGTTCCTGTATCCTACAACTACTCCTATGGTCGGATGAAAGAACCTTCTTTACTTTCTCTGTTAACAAATATAAGCAGCCAGGGCAGTAATTACTGATATAATTAATGGTCACACACAAATATGGGGAGACTACAGCTTATTATTTGTATTTCTTAGCACGGATTAATTCCCCAGACTTGTTTAACCACAAACTCCACATAGTCTATAGAATGGATTAGAAGCAGACATTTGTTTGGGATTTTAATCCATCAAGTTAGGACAATTCATAACATATCTGAAAACAATAATGAGCAAATGCCTGAAAATGTATCAGATACATAACTGGACTGAAGGAAGAGGTAGGGAATTTGTTTCAAATATAAAAATAGTTTTGGAAGCACAGCTGTAAGCACTGGTAGTCAACTTTTTAATACACACAATGCAAACAAACAAATATAATTCAGCCATATCCATGAAATGAAGACCCAATGTATGATTATAAGAGGGGAAAAACCACTGATCACCTTTTCAGCTATGGCTACATGTACATAACTGAAAAGCTGATCAGGGATTTCCCCCCTCTTATAACCACAGAAATCCCAAAGGAGTTGCCATAAATCAGCTGTGATTTGACAGCACATTCCACCAGCAGCACATAGCTACATTTATTCTTTATATAGCTGTGGTAATTTAACACTACCTCTTGGGTCACCTGTGACAAAACTTGTGGGTGCCTACTGGGTATGCCAGAGTGCCCTTTATTTACTATTATAATTATTTATCATCATCATCATCATTTATCATCTGTCTTTCAGTGGGGCTCAAGGCGCATAACAATTATGATAACAACTAGGTGGTCTGGGTCTGAACATGATGATTACAGTTGAAGTTCAGCAGAATGCAGGCTCTAAGAATGCAGGCTCTATGAAGAGTTACACTCTAAGCCTATTGGCTTGACTTGGTGACAAAATCTCTGATACTCCAACTAAACCATATCGGATTAGCAATCTCCCACAAATGAACTTTGCAAAATTAACTGTTATTAACCTAGCAAACGACTACAGCAATTGATTATAAGAGTAATAGACAACAACCATACCACACTCTAATGCTGAAAAACCAATATCCTCATACAAAATGACTTCAGTTTTTAAAAGACATTATTTGGAAAAAATGGTATAAAGCCATGCTCAGTTAAAAGATTGATGGACACAGAGAGGTTTATAATGCAAGCAGTGATTGTGGTAAAACAACATTTTATCATGGGTATCTGTGGTAAGAATTTTCCATTTTGCTTTATGAAAGTTGGATTTACACTCTATGAATGCTTAAAGGTTAAGCTCTATCTGCTTTTATAAGTAGTCTAGCCAAGGGACAGAATTCCTTCTAAATTCCTTCTAAATTCCAAGCTGTAGCAATTAGTCAAACAGCCATTCTTATGGTAATGGCTGCAGCCCAACAGACAGACCAAGGGAAGATATGTCTACAGAGTGAGCGAGCAAGCAATGAGGACCACCCCAGAATTAGCCACATTCCTTTCCCTTCTCTATCTGGCAAATTTCAAGGCTTTGGGAAGAAGACTGTCTCCTTTAAGAAAGGTGTAGACTTGTTTTAGAGTTACAGCCAGAAATCTTGGAGGGGACACTCCCAGGAACATGTCCTCAACAAAGATGGCAGTCAAGATGAGGGAAGAATGTAAAGACAGCCTGAACAACCAATCTGAAAGCATTAAAAATATTGTTTTTCTCCCTTTATCATCACAGGGATAAGTTTTGGAACTAGGGAGAGAAGATTCCATTTCATGCATCTTCTATATTTCTTTTGCTCTGATGCTGTAGCATATTGATGTTTAACAGTATGCTTTTGCTTCTAGCAAATACTGGTTTCTTATACAACCAAGTCCGGTTTCAGAAAAGAGAAAAAAATGGTCTTTGCAATCACATTGTTGTTGTTGTTCAGTCGCACAGTCGAGTCCGACTCTTCGCGACCCCATGGATCATCTCCCGCCAGGCCCTCCTGTCTTCCACCGTCCTCTGAAGTTGGCTCAATTTCATGTTCGTTGCATCGATGACACTGTCTAACCATCTCATCCTTTGCCGTCCCCGTCTTCTTTGACCTTCAATCTTTCCCAGCATCAGGGTCTTCTCCAGTGAGTGCTCCCTTCTCATTTGGTGGCCAAAGTATTTGAGCTTCAGTTTCATTATCTGGCCTTCCAGGGAACAGTCAGGGTTGATTTCTTTTAGGATTGACTGATTTGATCTTCTTGCAGTCCAAGGGACTCACTCTCAAGAGTCTTCTCCAGCACCATAGTTCAAAAGAATCTATTATTCGGCGCTCGGCCTTCCTTATAGTCCAACTCTCTCAGCCATACATGACTACTGGGAATACCATTGCTTTGACCATGCGGACTTTTGTTGGCAGGGAGATGTCTCTACTTTTTATCATGCTGTTTAGGTTTGCCATCGCTTTCCTCCCAAGGAGCAGGCGTCTTAATTTCATGGCTGCTGTCACAGTCTGCGGTGATCTGGGATCCCAGGAACGTGAAGTCTGTCACTACTTCCACGACTTCCCCTTCTATTTGCCAAGGAGTGATGGGGTCGGATGCCATGATCTTAGTTTTTTTGATGTTGAGCTTCAAGCCCAGTTTTGCACTCTCCTCTTTTACCCTGAGCAAGAGGCTCTTAGGGTCCTCTTCACTTTCTGCCATTAGAGTGGTATCGTCTGCATATCTGAGGTTGTTGATCTTTTCCCCAGCAATCTTAATTCCCGCTTGTGATTCATCCAGGCCAGCATTTCGCATGATGTACTCTGCATATATATTAAATAAGCAAGGTGACAATATACATCCTTGTCGTACTCCTTTTCCTATACTGAACCAATCAGTTGTTCCATATCCGGTTCTAACTGTCGCTTCTTGACCCTTATACAGGTTTCTCAAGAGACATGTGAGGTGGTCTGGTACTCCCATCTCTTTAAGGACCTGCCATAGTTTGTTATGATCCACACAGTCAAAGGCTTTAGCATAGTCAATGAAGCAGAAGTAGATGTTTTTTTATGTTTTTTATGTTTTCTGCAATCACATAAAAACCCCTAAACTTGTTGCATGCTTACCAAGGTGCAAGGGACAGAAAAACCTGCCCTAGTTGTGAATATCTCTAACAAGTGAGATATCCCAAGATCTTCCATACCTTCATGGTAGTTTGGAGATAGAGGGGGAATTTGTATTTGAAACACCGAGCCTGACTAGAGGTCACCATATTATAAAATGTCCTTTGCACTGGTGGTGGAGAGTATATTCTAATTGCACAGGGAAATGTGCAGGATAACGTGGTACTTCATAATTATGACCTGCTGAGTAAATTCTTCATTCCCTGTGGTGAAAAAAGGGTACCCATGTGGTCTGTTTCACCAAAATGATTGCTGTTAACAAAAGTTTTGATAGCACAGACTGTGACTCACCTTTGCAATGAACTGCTATGGCACCTTCAGCATTTTCACAAATATTTAGGAATGTTTGGACAATGGTATCAGTAGGTATACTTCCATCTGCAAAGAAGAGATCGTAATGTTCAAAGCCTGCTTCCTTGAATCTTTTAGCATCATACATCCTCTTGTTCAGGCGGATTACAGTGGTAACATTATGCCTTCTAAAGTAAGGGAAGTAGGCCTCAGGAGCATGATGTGGGTAACCTGAAAGAAAAAGGAAAGAAATGAAGACAGAAATGTTAACTGTATAGAACATAATAGTGCAGAAGCCAACAAAATGGGAGAGGGGGACAAAATTCACATACTGCATGTCTTTACTGCAGAAGCACTGATATTTTATAGCAATTATTACTTAGCAAATAGCCATGTATTGTTTCCTGTCCCATTCCCCTTAAATCATACCATTTTCAATTCTGGTTCTGGAATGAGGTCCACTGAAGGCAAGAAATTTTTTTGGTATTATCCAGTTAAAATCTCCATTTTCTGCCTTCTGTCAAGGAAAGAAATATATTGTTTATGTCATTCCTAAAGCACCATAGCATTTGTCATATTTGTGTAGGTGAACAAAGTGAAGATGACAAGGAATGCTGATGTAAGGGTTTGGTTTTTGTAAATACAAAAAGTCTAATTCCAGTTTTGTCTGGGATTATAAACCACATGCTCTCACACTGTCATGCGACAGCCTTCTAACAAGTATATTGAAACATCTTTTTGTTATTTACCTTACTTTCCTTGACTCCCCATATTTATAGACTCTCTTGAAAACAGAAAAAATCAAGAGCTATAAGTACTGCATGCCAATTTTTATACAAGACAGTCTCAGCAGTAATTACAAACAGTACTCAGCAATAAGAATGAAACTTACCTCATAATGCTCATATTCTTCTACATCAAATGTACTGAAATCAAGGAAACCAAACTGCAAAGCCTAAAATCCGTGAAAGAGAGACAGACAAAAACTTGTAGAATGAATAATGTATATTTTTGGAACAACTCAGTGAAACACACACAGGAAGGGCACTGTTCAATTGTAGATGTCACTTGTGTTTCCCTTCCCCAGCAGTCCCTTCTGACTCCAGAATGATGACACCTCATTTTCCACAAGCAAAAGAGGGAAGTGGTTTTGCCCAGTTGCCCCTGCTTACTACAGCCACCAAACTCTCATGACTTTGTCCATGCATTATATCTCCGGGGAACAAAAGGAACTGCTGGGGGAAGAAGAATGTGGCACGAATCCACATGCATTGCACTGGCAGTGGGTTGAATACATCCCACTACCTATTTTGTCTGAACTAACACTTTAATTATCTATGATGCTTTACATATGTGAGGTAAAGTATTTGATGAATTTTGAACAAAATAGCCATCAGATAAATGCTATCACTACCAACCTTTGCTTGGGTTTAATCCTCACTTCTTGACTTTCTCGTCAGAAACATTTTAAATCTAAAACATTCGAATTCCACATGGCTTCCCAAATTAAATTCACTGCCAAACAGAATAATCTTACCAACCTTGTTTATTGCATGAAGGCAGTCAAGCAGCGTTATATGAAAACTGCAGGTACCAAATGAAGCATCCCTGCAAGGCATACATATCTGAAGTCATTTTTGACAATTGAAAAAGCAACTTCAGTTTCCCAAGCAAAATATTCTAAAGCTTTTGATATGGCTACAATACTAAGGGTTGCATCCTGAAGAAAGACTGAATGCATGGATTATCTTTTTCTTTTGCCAATTCCTCCTTCCAACTGCAACTTCATACAGCCCTGGCGAAAAAATCCTCCAGATACGACTTGTTGATCATAAAGTTTCAAAACTGACTTGATAACAGTTTCATAAAATGTTTGATGGCCAGGATAACTACAACAGCAGCAGCAGCATCATAATCCCAAACAGCTTCCCCAGCTTTTGTCATGCCCTAGTACTTCACCAAGAAATGGAATCCAAGGTGAGGATGTACAGCTGAAGAAAAGGGTTATGTTCTTCAGTATTCAGTGAGTCACTGCGGGTGTATGTGGGGGGAGGTATTTGTGAATTTCCTGCCTTGTGCAGGGGGTTGGGCTAGATGACCCTGAAGGTCCCTTCCAACTCTATGATTCTATGAGTCCTTGAATCCTTAAAAGGAAGGGGGGGGGGGAAAACTATGCTAAACCTGGACCCAACTAGCTTTAGAATATCTGTCCCCATTCCACTGCAGGATGTGAGACGAAAAAGCAGATTCTCTTAATATGTATGGTTTTCTGATCTAAATTGTTCTTTTAAAATACTGTATATGAAGGGAGAGGCCCAGAAACGGATGTGTGTGCGCACACATGCAATAATACCCTAATGGTCACATCTCAGCTGTGACTGGTGATCTGCTCTCTTAGGTCAAGTGACTCAAGCAATGACAGAGCAGCAGCAAAGGAGAAGAGCCACAAGGGAAGGCTTGTCCCATGCACTCAAATTCATCACTGCCCAGGCAGGAAGTGTTTGTTGATTTTTGTACAAGAAAACTAGCAACTGATTTCAGCGTCAGACACTTGGTTTTTGTATGCAGTAGAATAGTTATTCTACTCTTTGTGTACTTCTTACTAAAAAAAAATACACAGCTTTGGTGTCCATATCTATGCTGGCCCATGCCCAAGAACTCTACAATCACACACTACAGCACCTGAAGCTGCCGGTAAACAGTAAGAGCAGAAGAGGAGCTTGCTGCAGCAGTCACCAGCCCAAATCTGAGGATCTGGGGGGTGGTAAAGTCCCCAGGTTGGAGAGGGTACTAAATAATGTGAGTGTATGTTTGTGGTAGGGAACCATGTGCTTGTCTCATCGTTAAAAATGACCTGCTCTCCAAGTATTTGTGTGTTTGGAGTTCTCTGCAAAGCATTCCTTCCTTCCTAAGACTAGTCAACCTGAGAGTTTCACATCTGTAAAATGGGTAGATTTGTTCTAAGTTATTGATCATCTAGCGCATGTGTATGGCTTGATCTATATAGCCTGCGGCTTGTATTGATGTTATTTCCTGCCTTCTGGCTGTTGTAATCTAGACTGCGCTGCAATCTCTGGGGCTGCAAATTTTTTGTGTCATGTCTAGATAGTGTTGCTTGAGGCAGGGAATTTGAAAGCATACATAACACCTCTGAGTGTTATCATGGGCTCTGTACCTAGACCTCAATTATATAACAGAACTTTTTTGTTTTAAGAGCTGACAACCCTGTCTCATATAAATTTTCACCTCCTATGGTAAAAAACAAATTGCTGCAATTGGAGTGAACATAACCGTAGAGGGGGAAAAACCACTAGCCTCCTTTCAAAATATCTGATGTGGCCTCCATCAACAATAAGCCAGTGTGCTTGTGTACTGCATCTCTGTGTGTCTACTCACACTCATGGCCCATATGGCAAGCATTCTGCTAATGTAAATATCAAGCTGTGTAGGTTTCACTGCATCAAGAGTAGGCAACTAGGATGGTGGTGGTGATTCAACTCTGAAGTTTCTGCCCACATTTTACGCATCAGCAACTCAACTGCAATATACAGAACTGTGGCTCCAGATCTCACCAACCATGCTTCCATAAACAGGTGTAACATTTAAACTGCTTGGTATAATTTTACCCTACAGATTTCCAGTATTTGTCATCTGTCTAGTTGGTCCTAAGAAGTGGTAAAATACTGAAGTACTTAGCTACTCTAACAAAACCAAACAACCAAAAATGTCTGGGCAGTGAAGACTTATTTTGCAGGCTGGGGCTCAGGCTCATTACCGCACTAGAACTGATTCACAAATTTGGCTTCTTCCAGCCTACAGCAACACAAAACTGAAAGGAACAAGAGGAATATCCAGGTCACAGGAAGTGCCAAGTCCTTGGTCAGAACTCAAAGAACCACAGTGCTAGCTCCATCTGCTCAGGAGGTTTCAGGCTTGTTTTTTCTCAAAATGACAGTCCTTATGCCCCATGACAAACTCTGATCCTTCGGGGGCGTTAAGTGGCCAAGAAGCTACTTTTCTCTACCCTAAAAGACAACTTCAAATCCACACTGTTAAGGATAAATGGAACTTACATCCATGCTTTTTGTTTACCTGAAAGGAAGATATGCTACATTTCCAGACAATAAAAGCCTGTACACAGTTTCTGGAGATTCTTTCAGATAGATTATCTATTTGAGAAAGAGAAAAAGAGATTAAAGAAAGGTTTTATATTTCGCTAGTAACTTAATTTTTTCCTGCAAGGAATGGCATAGAGCAGAAAACAAAATAACATGCATACAGTGTTAGAGAAGATAGGGAGTATGGTGGCCCCAACATGAAGCCAAGAATACAATAAGTAGAACTCAAGAACTTAAGTATTAAGACTTGAACATTCCAAGCTCCAAAAAGCATTATTACAATATAACTCAGCATTAGATACTTATTCAAGGAGCCATGTCAACATTTTCTTTGTGAGTGGCAAAGTTGGCCCCAAAAAACATTAGGAATTGCCAATCAGGTGAGTTTGGGAATTAAAAGCATTGACAAAACTGAGTTTAGAGGAAAATAGCAACCCAAGTCAGGACTGGTGTTTGTTTGGATGGTTAACACCAGTCTAATTCTTTTAGACATCATTTCATATTAATTGTTTTTATCCAGTAGCACAGGTCCCATGTGGTTTGCATATTCAGTGGTAACCATGGAGTGGAAAGTGCTGTCAATTTACAGCTGACTTATAGCAACGCTCTAGGATTTTCAAGGCAAGAGTCATTTGGAGGTGGCTTGTCACTGACTGCCTCTGCATCACGACCCTAGACTGCCTTGGTGGTCCTTCCATTCAAGTTCTAGCCAGGGCTGACTCTGCTTTTAACTTCCAAAATCTGACGAGATCAGGCTATCCGGGTCAGGGCAGTGGTAAGGATATCACACCTATTATATATATATCCATTGGGCCCCAGCCTCCATTTGGCTTAACAGGTTGGACTCCTACAAACTGTGTCTCTGAATAATTTCCTCTACACTGTGACAAATAAGATCTTCTGGCAAAGCAAGACTAAAGACGTGCACAGTAGAACGAACTCATATTCTTGCCTGAGCCCACAGTCAGCGTGAAGAGCATCATATCACCATACTACTTATTTAATACAATTTCTTAGGACTACAATCAATTTAAAGTAAAAGAGAACTTACAGAGAAAATTCATATAAAGTATTAGAAAACAGGAACATATATAATGTATCTTAAGTTTCTTAACAAATTTATACTTAAAAAGTAAAATGCTATGCAATTGAATTTTGCACTCATCTTTCAAAACAACTGTATTCTTCCATTAGGTAAAACAAAAGCTAAAGTCATAGGCGAATATATAATTTAGTGGCTGCAAGCCTTGATTATTCAATTAGCATCCCCAAGGTAATATAACTGTACACAAGACTATTATCCATTACACGCACTGAGGCAGGCTGGCTGGCCATGTTCAAAGAACATCCAGATCCTATTTTGATGAACAGATGCTACACATTCAGCAACACAACAAGCTGTTACTGTGAAGGAGAAATTCACTGGCCTTGCACATCGATGCTGTCAATGTACCAAATCAACAAGTATCCCAAGGAATATAAAAATTAGAGGCCTTATGCAGTATAACAATGAGCATTCATGGACACTGATATAAAGCACATAAGTTTTAAAAGGCAACTATATCACGTTAACATTAATACTCTGTACACAGCCTGTCATACAGGTGAGTAAATTCGTATTGTAGCAATATGCAAGCAGATACTGAAAAAAGCAGTGTTGCTTTAATATTTTTAAATGGCAGAGGTTGCTTCTGAAATTTAGGGAGGGTAGTGCAGAGAAGAGGTGCTGTTCATCAAAAAAAGCAAGACACCTGCTGTAAATACACAGCTCCAAATTTAGCTATAAAGGCACCTTCTGGATCAGAACCCATGACTGGACATTTCTGATGCTAAATTATTGTACAATTTATTCATAATATGCTAGCACCACCACCTACAGAGTTAAGAAACTACAATGTTAGCATCACGGGGGGGGGGGGGGGCAGTACAAAATATATTTCTAATGGGGGAGTCCTCCTTTTAAAAAAATCCTGTTACTTTAACAGCTGGCTAATATTAGATTGGCACCAGCCCCAAGTCACATTTTTAATTAACATTTCCAAACCCCCATCAGTATGCCATTCAATAAATTCCAGGGGAGTTAGTAACGTAGCTTCAGTGAGTAAGTGATGAGAGATAAAAAGACCTGCAACACCCCCCAAAAAACCAACAAAATAAGCACTCAGTACCCACATACAGGTTTGCATCCAACTGCACATTTCCAAAGATGCAAGATCTTTACCAATTCTTCCTTCCCATTATTGACCTCCCTACTATCCCCCATGGATTCCCTGGTCCTCAGGGGGGAAAAAATCGGATGTGGGGGCTCAGTGAGCTACAGCAGGAGAAGAAATTCCCATTTGAAGTCATATGTGCTCTCTAAATTCCACAGTTACACTGTTTTTTAAAACAACCACTTTTTCCTTAGACGAAAGAAAAAGGAACAACTATTAGAGAAATGCAGATGAAAAAAACCTTCCAGAAATCACTATACTACGGCATAAAACATAACTTACTAAGTGTCTAAAATAACACTTCAAATTAAATGAAACTGATGTAACCTAGCAAGTATAAGAATGTAAGGTAACTTAAGTGCAAGAGAAATCAAACCTTGAGACCGACTGTAGGAGAGAGTAATGTTATCAGCCCTTAGGAAAATGAAAGACAACAGCACTAGCTAAAACAGGTACCCAGAGAGAAGGAAAACATTATTTAAAAAACAAAACAAGAACACAAGCCACCACCGGGTTTTGAAGAGACTGACATTTTTTCTTAACAGGACGAGAAGGCTATAAAATATAAAAGCCTATGCAAGTACTGCACATGAAATATAACGTTAGAATTACTTCCCAAACACTATCCTAAAAATTAAAATTCATATTTATTCTCATAAATTTAACTGTAATCACTAACAGAGAGGTTAGAGATTTGAATGCTCATCAGAACGGCTGCTCCTGTTGCCAAAATTCCAACTAAAATAAGGTTACATCAAGCAACGCTGACAAACTGAACCTGGGAAGAATAAAAAAAAAAAAAAAGATCACAAGAGGTGAAGGAAACTGCTTACCCTGGAGGAAGAAGATGAGAAAATAAAGTACACAGAGATGAGTCCTGGAGAAGATGACCTGAATTATAGCAGTTCTTGGGGTAGGCCCCTAGAAGGGTAGCCCTCCAAAAGGACATAATTAGAGCCAAGCCTGAGAAAAAGAAATACTGTTACTAAGTTAATGCAGGAATTGGAAGAACGGAGGGGGAGGAAGAAGATAAGGAGGAAGGAAGATGCATGGAAGGTAAAACCTGGTTTTAAACAGACAAAGGAAGATAGAAGACAAGAAGTTCTATCTTAACACCTGAAATATTAGAGAGGATCAAAAGTGCCCATTACAGAAGCTCTCTTAAGAGTATCATTTAAGTTGGGTACCATGAAGAACTACGTAATACAAACTTCTTCTAGCCATTACAGTTTTTGCAAAGTATGAAAAGGTTTGGGTATTAGTTATTTAATTTAAGCAACAAAAACCCTGGTTTCATAGTTCAGAATACTACTTTTACTACTCTGGTGAACTGTCTTTATGTCCAGCACAAACTTGGACTGGTACTATTCTATCCATTTACTGCAGAAAAATATATAACAAACCAGATCCAGATCACTAGCACTGACATCAGATATTGTTACTTTTACTGTTTTGGATTGTTATTGCACATCATCGGTTTGGCATTAAAGCTCACATCTAGGTAGCTCAGTATGATAATCAGATCACATGGGTGCTTGTATCATTTATTATGACTTATAGTGAAAGCTCCAAAAAAGCAAAAGCATGACAGGAAGAGACAGCAGAAAGGCAAAGCATCACACAGGACTAGAAACATACATTAACTGTTAACCTTTCATTATTAGACACCAACAGTAACAATGAAGCATGTGTTTAAGACATTCTCAACTGGTGTTGAGAACCAGTTTGGTGTAGTGGTTAAGTGTGTGGACTCTAATCTGGGAGAACCGGGTTTGATTCCCCACTCCTCCACTTGCACCAGCTAGATGACCTTGGACAAGCCATAACTCTGGCACAGCTGTTCTTGAAAAAGAGCAGTTTCTGTCAGAGCTCTCTCAGCCCCACCTACCTCACAGGGTGTCTGTTGTGGGGAGGGGAAGGGAAAGGAGTTTGTAAGCCGCTCTGAGACTCCTTTGGGTAGTGAAGGGTGGGGTAAAAATCCAATCTCTTCTCTTCTTCTTCTCCCCCCCCCAAGATGTGTAAAGATACAGAAAACCACCACAAATGCATTATAAAAATACCATTTTAAAGTTAGCCCTACTTGTACTGCAAAATATCTGTGACACCATGAAACTTTTGGTGATAAGCTACTGGGCAAGCTATTAATTTCACACTGCTTCAATTTAGTCATCTGAAATAACATTGCAAGTTTGATTGTCCCACACTAAGGACCTTTAAAATGCTGTTAACAATTCCATGCATACAAGAATGCTCAAATGAATGCTCAGATTCTTTTTGTTGACGTAATGCTGCATTAACTTTGCTTGCTCAGTATTTCCTTCAGCCATGCCAAATTTATCTATGTACCTTCTATACATACTTACTAAAGGCATAAAATAACTGGGGGAAATGTAAACAAATCTTCACAAAGTTATTGGCCAGAAGATATTAAAACATGGCGTAAAAACATGGTCCCATTAAAAAGTCGTGTGTTTACTGTTCACTGCTTCATGACATGGAAAGGGGAACATGCTCATGCTACAGGCAAAATTACGAAGCACCAGAGTTAAACAATTAAAAATCTTGGACTGAATCTGTACACAGTTTCTCCACAGCAGTTATATTAGAAACTAAAGTGCAGAACCTAACTTGTATTTGCCTACCCCAATTTCCTCAGCCAAATTTAATAAAAACTCAGTCTCAACAACCTACTTGCAGCAGGTAAGGATCCTTTTCACTCCAACAGATATTACAAAAGAGGAACAATGCATGCAAAATACTGAACTACTTCTGATGCAGTAGTTGAAGTACCACTTCATATAATAATCTGAGCAGCCACTAACAGTAACTGCTAGTTGGAGACATGGATAAGGAGAAGGGACAAAATTATAGCTGCCTTTTCATTAATGAATTCCGAGGAAATCATGAGAGTTTAGTTGATTAATTCATTTGATTACATCTGAATAATTTGCATATCAAAAAGAATTCTTTTGATGAGGGGAACTAATGTCTCTCTGCATGTGAGTCATATGGTCATGAGGTGGAACAGAGTTTGCAAAAGGGTTCAGAAAGGTAGCTGCAACCAAGACTATAATGTAGCAAATGCAGCTGTAGATCTACAGCACCTGCCACAATTGTAGCTACACACCGTTTGATTACTGACCTCTCATCTATTATGGCACAGCAACATAGTTTTCTGTTATGTATAATCCTGTTCTATCTACGGGTCATTGAAAGCGGACAGAACTGAGCATGCCAACATCTATTAATTACATCCCGTGGTATGAATAACACAGCTCTTGAAACAGAAATTCTGTCCATGCTTTACCACACTATCATTGTATACTAATTTAGGTAAAATATGTTGACTCCAGTCCTCACATGGCTTCCAGGAATACTCAGCACAGAAAGGCTTGTGTCTCTTCATTTATACAATGGAGGGTGGGGTGTCCTGTTTTGCTCTTGATTTCTTCACAAGGGTTCTAAAATGTACTTAATTCAAAAGGCCTTTAAACAATGTGTTGCTGTTGTGCCATGCAGAATGCAAATATTATTACTGTTTAGAAAATGTGGGTTCCAAACTTTCTACCTTACGTGAATCTTCATAGGTCAACCTCCCTGCTGAGGAAGCCCAGCATATTACATGGGATTTTCGGGCATATTGTAAGGTGTGGCTTCAGCTTCAGAGGGGTAACCTGCTGGGTATCCCAGACTTTGCCATTTACCCTGCAGAAATGGAAAGCCCTAGAATATATCCAACAGTCTTCAGCTCCTAGTTCTCCCTAGTAACATCAAATCCTTAACAAGAAAGCTTGTTCACCATTACTGATCTTCTCACTGATGAAACTTGAAATGCTTCTAAGGAAATCAAGACTAAAATTCAAAAAAAAGTATCCAGTATGAGTTTTATAAGTATAGACGCTAGGAATACCCTCCCCACCCACAATCTGGTTCCCAAATTATATACTGCATGATTGGTATCAACAGAAGCTTTCTGCATGTTACAGCTCAAACACTCTATTTCTTCACAAGCAATGCTTCTCTGCCATTCTTGATGTTATTTTCTTAATCAGGTCTCACTCAGTTTCCCCTGTCCTGCTATGGAGTTTCTTGAAAGCTCTGCAATTTTAACAACCTGAACTGTTAAGAGGGAAACCATTTGAATGAGAGACAAATCTATGAATAAAACTATATAACAGGTAAATCATAAAAGGCACTCCTTTTCACAAGCTGGATCAAAAGTTAGTTGAGTCCTAGACATGGATTCCAACACTGGGGGGAAAGAAAATAGTAACAGAGACAGCATAATGCAGGAGGTGGGCCTTTTTGAAGATAGATGGTTAAAATACTTACTGCATAAGAACCTATCAGGAAGGCTGCATTGGCTTGCTTTTTCTGATCAAAACCAGTATAATGAACAATCTTCTTCCTTATCATGGTAAAGGACTGCATCAAGAAATGAACAGAGTTACAACTGGATTTGTATACTGTAGTAATGAACAGAAATGGTCCCCATCACATACGCACAGAAATGACCTCATCACAAACAATGCCATGTTACATTGTCCTTACATGTAAAGTAATTTAGAGCATAACACAAAGGATTGCTTCATTATCAGTGCCTGCAACAGGAGAAAAAGGCATTGGGAAATCACAGCACATTATGGGACAACTGAAGAGAAAATGGCAGTCTAAAATGAATATGAACCCTACCAGCTTTTTCACTGGCACCAGAAGGGGAAGAACCTGACAGATTCTTCTCCTTGCTGCAACTGAATCTCACATGACTTTGGGTCTCACAATCCCAGCATAGCTTTTAAGGGTTAAAAAGGAGGTCCGCCTTCTTTGAATCAGCAGAAGAGCTGGTAGGATCCAATATATAGCCATTTCCTGTTCCTTTTCTTAAATAATTACTAAACAGTGTTTAAAAGTTTTGCACTTGTTCCCAGTGATGGTTATGTCCTGTTAATTAAGATCTGAGGCTGCCACTTCTAACTTTTTCCAGTTTATTCATTTTTACGATGCATTTTATAGGGCTTGTACTAAACTTTTTTGTGAGCCGCTTTCAACTTCAGGAAAAGCAGGATAAAATATTTTAAATGAAGTAAATAAATACAATCTATAGCAATCTTATTTCTCAAAATCAGTTTGAATTCTGCATTAAGCACAGGTCAGATACACCTTTCCCCAAACACACATACACCCTATGGCAAACAATAAGCTTGTGTGAACAGCAATTTCCCCCAGCTTCATTATTTTGAAAGCATTTTCAATAAACTTTAATCGTGCTGTAAGTGGTGGGTAATTTCTTTTCACACCTCCAAGCTTCATTAGTCATTGCCCTTCTCCTATTAAAACTGACTCTTAACAGAAATTAGTATCATTCTGCTCAAGACATATCCCTATAAATCTCCTGCTCCTAATCACACTGCATCCTCACTCCTAGGAAATAATTATGGCATGCCATAAAGGTTTTGAAGACAGAGTTGCAAAGCAAGATCTGTGAGCCATGCCACAGCCAAGTCCCAGATTTATACTTAATCATATGTACATGCTTTAAATCTTGGGACTATTGCTAAATGACGTACTACAAATTTCAAATTTCAGTTTTTAAGCTTTTCAGCAGAATTTTCAGAGACTGAATGAATTTGCAGTTTCTAGCCAACTAAATCAATATTTAACCAAATGGTTTTTTATACTCCTACCAATATTAGCAAGGCTTGCACTAAATTTGAAACATATGGAAAGACTTAAAACTCTGCAATGTAAAAGTTGTCACAATGTCACAATACCTCACATACTGTGTTTTATAATACCAAACATTACTGAAATGAGAACCAAATATTTCTTTGAACTCCTGAGAGTAACTAGATTGTTACCACACAGTCCTCTTTTTAAAATTTGTTTTAATCTGCTTTAATTTGTTTAAAATGTTTAAAATGTTTTATTTATTTATTTCATTGCATTTATAGCCAGCCCTCCCCGCAAGCGGGCTCAAGGCCCCCCAACGTGCCAAAATTCATATAACAATTAAAACATTTAAAACATCCAACATTTAAAAACATTTTATGGAGACCAGGTACACTGTACCGACCTTTGTAAGCTGCGCTGAGCTCGTTCACAGGGAGGGCAAGGTAGAAATGTAATTAATAAATAAATAATAAATAAATAATTGCTACACTAAAGAAAAGGGAAAATAAATAGCTACCAGCTTTAACGTTTGTAACTATTGATTTGTGTTAACAGTCAAGAACAGGCATGCATAGTAGCAAGGAAGTTTTTCACCTTCACAGAAACCATGAGGTGTCTTTACCATTAAGTATTTGTTCCACAGTAGTCAATTTTTGTTAGAGCTTTAGCTTTACAGGGAACGTTGAGGATGAAAAACCAGTATTTCAATTTTCTTAAGTCTTAATCATTATTTAAGGAAAATTAAGAAATATTTCCATTTATATTAATGTTCCTCTGTGCCCTGAAGCTCTCCAGACATTGGCAGGTTGCCAGAAAAATTCCTTAGGTGGGAGGAAGGGTGGGGATTGCACTACAAAGAGTATTGCCTAATAAGTTTCTTCTGTTCCCATGGCACCAGGACTTTTAAACCCCATGACTCCTGTGCTTCCAGGCTTCATACTTTTAACCATTAACCACAGAACAAATTCTCAGATTTGCATTCTAAAATAAAACCAAGCAAGTTCTATCACATTATTATTTCCCACTTTCTGTCAAAAAATACAAACACAGTTCACACACCTGACTATCAGTGTAAGTCAACCTAAACCAATATCATTACACAGTTTTTTAAACATATACAAAATAATACATACTTTAATATTATCAATTTATAATAATGTTAGTTTAGGTTGGGGCTCACTCCACCTCACCCTTAAAGGAACACAATCCAATACAGTCCTATTTGGTGCAGAGTAATTTTTACCTTTAATTTTTTATTTAGCTTGCAACAGTATCTATAAAGCATTGCCAGATTGAGTGGTCCAAAATCTGCATAGAAGCTTGAGAAGGGGAAGAGATAAAGAGAAAAAAAGTTAGCATAATTGTAAGATCTGCATTAAAATGGTTGTTCAAGGTCCCTCTTTCACATCTTCACATTAAAACAGGTATCAGCATATATAAAACTTCAAATTCTCTTTTTTCATGCTGTTAAAAACATACTATAATTACTGACAGAAAAACAACCCATACACATACTGCACAATGCCTAGGAATAGATTAGAATGCCTATGGATTCTGACATGTTTTTGGAACTCACAATAAAATATTTTACAGGAACTACTTTAAGAACTCAATTTGAAATGCCACAGAACGTAGAAGTCTTAGAAAAGCTTGCTAGCGACCTTTCAAAAAATGAGCAGTTGCCATTCATAATATATACTGAAGTGACTAATCCAGTTCATTCCTAAACTGTGCATCTGGAGAAACAAGTGTATTTCAAGAGAATGGGCAATGAGTTGTAAAGTAAACGAGATACTTAAAAGCTACTGTGGTACTCCATGCTGCACCTCTGCATGAATGACTCCTGTGGCTTTCCCTCATTTGGCTTTGTACTTGGCCTGATTACAGCACTGATGCAGAGGCACAACAGAATAATCCATCTGAAGAGGAGCTTATCATCGTTCTGCATGAACCTCTACATCGGGTTTGCCTGCTTCTACTAAGAAAGCATGCAAAACACTGTTACTAATGTGGAAACAAAGCAAATGGCTCTGCTGAAGGCCGGTAATTTTTATTCTGACATTAGGGTTGCCAGGTCCTGTCCGCTCACTGGCGGGAGACTTTGGGGGGCGTCCCTGGAGGAGGAGGGGACGTCCCCAACATGATGACATCACACAGAAGTGACATCATTATGTTAGGGAGGCAGCCTGAACTGCAAGTGGTGAATTCGCTGCTTGGAGTTCAGGCGCTGGCAGCCCCTGCTTGTAAAAACCATTTAAAGGGACCCTTTAAGTGCTTTTTACAAGTGGATGCTGCCGGCACCTGAACTCCAAGCAGCAAATTTGCCACCTTCAGTTCAGGCATGCAGCCAGCGGCCACCCCTCTCCCTCCTCTCCTGCAAGTTTTAAAGGACCCTCCAGCCTATCAATGGGCCATATGCTCCAGCAGATCAGTTGGAGAGCCTTTTAAATCTTGCAGGAGAGGAGGGAGAGAGGTGGCTGCTGGTGGTTGCTCTTGGGGGCGGGGCTCCCCCCCTGCTGGCCAGTGGCAGGCAACAGCCTGCAAAATCAGGGGAATCCCTCACCCCCAAGTGGAGACTGGCATCCCTATCTGACACACTATTAAGTAAAATTCACTGGAATATGTATTGCTCAGGAAAAACTTGGCAATTAGAAGTCTGGAAAACACTCTATTAATCCAAGAATTCTGAAATTTTATACAAACTAGTATATGCAGAACACCACAGCAACAAGACAACATACACAGACCAAACTGAGGATCTGGTGGCCAGGAAGTATATATGCTTACTGAAACCACTGGACACAAAGGAAACAGCCCAATTATTGTGAAACACAGATTTCAAGGTCTTGTAAAAACACACAAACCAAGGAAGATTTTTCAGCAATGTCAGACACAGATGCCAGTTACTTTTTAAGATGAACAACAGTTTGACTCTTGGGCCACCGTCTAAGCAGTTCCCCCTGAGCTCACGGGTTCCCCCCCTCCCCTTGACTAGCTTGTTTGGATTTCAGCCTTTCATGATAGTCTTTAAACCACTTGTTTTAATTTAATCCCACTGGCTTAATTCTGAAGTCATACCATACAAAAAATTCAGTGAAGACCTTGACCTTAACACAACAGGTATATCTGGATCTTTACAAGGTAAATGGCAAGATAGTGATAGCAGGTTTTAAGTAATTATGAAAACAGTTTCGTAAGAACAGAATGAGACCATAGGAAAAATTTGACAGTTCCCACAGTTATTTGAAGAATATTTTTATTCTGTGTTTTGACATAAACTCTCATAAAGGGGCTTGCAAAACCTTGAAAGAGTCATAGCAAAATTAACAATGAAACACACAATATGATAGAAGCAGTAGAAAGATAAAGTACAGAAGAGATGGGGTTTTTTTAATTCGGAAAGACCATAAGGGTAACCATTAGGAATACAATATTCTGTTGTCATTCCTAATGACTACACTTATGGGCATAATTAAAGGAAACCTCCATGCTTAGAAGCAGTAAAATTTTGAACACTAGATTACGGGATCAATGGGGTGGGGTGGGGTGGAGTGCTGGCCTTCATGCTCTGCTTCCAGAACTTCCAGCAGTATCTGACTGGCCATTGTTGGAAACAGGCTTGCTTACAGAACATACACAACTTCATTTTAACTGTACAGCTGTCTTAAGTAGGCCTCAACAAGCATCAAGATTATATAAATTAAAGTCATGGAATGCAGATGCCTTGTATGCTGAAGGAGAGAGAGTAAAAATGTACCCAGAAATTAACAGAAAAATTTCCCTCCAGTTTTACCTCAAAAACCATTTATCTATAGCAACCCTAACCTTATTCATTCATACCTTTCATGATCTAATTTTTTTTAAAATCCCCTTATAGGTGTCACTCATGTGCAGCTGTTAATAATTCCAATCGCCTTTGACAAAATAAGAGGGCTATGAACTTCTTCCCAAATGAAGGTAAGTATTATACGGCCAGGTCTAACTGTTGCCATTTAGTCACAAAATACAGTTCTACATTGTTGCAATCTGGGAGACTTTCAATCTTGCAACAGAAATTATATTTCCATAATGCCGCCTGTACTTATGATGTCATTCAGACCACCTTACTTTATGCATTACATTTTCCATCAGGGCTATGTGCCACTTCCTCTAACCACTACAAATATACCCATTATTTCCTTATTAAGGCTGCCATTCATGTTACTATACTGTCTTACAGATCAAGGGAATAACATTCTACTTACTTCTCATATGCAAATTCATCATCTGTGCTGAAATAGTGCGTACTTGCACCACCACTCTTTGGTTTATGGCAGATAACAGCATAATAAAGACGATCTGAAATTGTGGGGAAAAAATCACATTGGTACTCTAGAATGAAGAACTAGAGAAAGCATACTATGATTTTAGCAGTAACATAGGAATTTCCATTCAGGATTTTAAGAGCAGATATTTGTTAAGGAGCCAGGCAAACATCCCCATTTAGTCAGTGTGGTGACTGAAATGTTCCATTTGAATGTGGGAAATACAGGTATTTCCCTTGCACCTCTGAAACTCTCTGGGAGGTGGAGGTCTTAGGCAAGGTGTGATCTCTAACCTGTCTCACAAGGTCATTGTGAAACTAGGTCAAAACTCGAGTTGCACGAAATTAGTGCAGTAACTGCATTTTGTTCCCTTAGAGATAATGCTTCGTTTATTTATTTATTTTGCCATCAAGTTGCAGCCAACTTATGGCAACTCCATGGGGTTTTCAAGGTAAGAGATGTTCAGAGGTGGTTTGCCATTGTCTGGCTCCACGTCATGACCTTGGTATTCCCTGGTGGTCTCCCATCTAAATGCTGACCAAAACTGACCCTGCTTAGCTTCTGAAATCTGAGGAGATCAGGCTAGCCTGGCCTATCCAGGTCATGGCAATGCGTCCGTTTATCAAGAGTAATTTTTTTTAAATTGCATTATTCTTTTAAAAGTCTTTCTGAGTGGTGGGACCCTTACAGCCCATTTCTAATTTGCTGCAGTCTGAAATGCAAGTATGGGAGGAGAATGAAGAAGAAAGATTAAAAACTAGGCTCATTTGAAAGAACATTTATCAAGATCCTCTTGATGCATAAAAGAAAGAACACTTACCATTTCCAAAGCAAACTGTTATTAATATGAATACTGATAGCACCCATGTGACAAACTCTTGACTTTGGCAGGATCTGTGCCAACGACCCCAGAAAAATAGCCACGTTGGCCTGCTGCAGCAAAAACACACAGCAGTCTTGTAGCCACTTAACTTTCTTTTCTAGCATACGTTTTTATGGACCAGAGCTAGGGTTGCCAGCTGTGTGTCGGGAAATACCTGGAGACTTTGAGGGTGGAGCCTGAGGAGGGCAGAGTTTGGGGGGGGGGGAAGGGACTTCACTAGAGTATAATGCCACAAAGTTAATCTTCCAAAGCAGATGTTTTCTCCAGGTGAACTGACCTGTGTCCCCTGGAGATCAGTTGCAACCCCAGGAGGTCTCTCGCCACCACCTGGAGGTTGACAACACTAACTAGAGCCCATCAGTTGCGTGTAGCAAGTCCTTCCTAAGTGATTTAATTTTGTGCTTCATTTATAATTTACCTATCTTGCTGATAACTCAAGGTTATGAAAAAGTGTTTAAATAGCAGAACCAAAGGGCCATCAAATGCAGGGAGTACAGGAGCAAATGCAATTATGTAAAAGTAAATTGTAATGAAGAAAAGTACAGAGCCAACTACAATAATAATGCAATTTCCCTCGAAGTGCTAACCAGTTAGCACCTGTAATAAGGAATGTCTGATTCTGCTGCCACTGAGTAATCTCAAGCCCTTTTCAGCCTTTGGAGGACAGTGTCAAATTTCCTGATTAATTCTAGTTCAGCAGTTTTGCGCAGGAATTTTCTTTTGAGATTGTTAGAAAATGCATGTACAGTTAAGTACTGAATCCTGGGAGATTTCTTTGTATATATTTTTAACAGTGCAGTCCTAAATACAGTCATTCCTCTCTACTGATGTTAACAGGCTTAGAAAGATGCACTCTGTTTTAACACCGTACTGTGAAATAATCAACCTGTTGTTAAAACTCATTTATTTCCCGGCAAATCTTATTTCCAATATGTAATTAGAACGTCTGCCCTAGTAGTTTAATTATAAACATGTTTATAATATGAAAGGAAAGACATTACAGCTACAATGTTCTTTTTGAACAGCAATGTTACCGCCCCCTCCCCCCCGGAAATCTGTTAATTCATAGAATTTGCCATGTGACTAGCAACTACATCGCCAAATCACTTCTGTTTATTCCAAATATGTCGCGTTACAATGTTTATAGTTTGGGCTCTGAGAAATGAAAGAAGCCACGCCTTCTCTTAAAACTGAGACTTTGTTATTCTCCACACGCTATATTGGAGGTACGGTAATAGAACAAGTGATGTTGATCCTCATCAGCCCCACGTAACAAAAGAAAAACATAGGTACGAAGTGGTTAAAACAGCAGCTCGTAGTCGGCTCCCTGCTCCTTCCTCCTCCGCCCAGTCATACCCTTGCTAAAAAACTTCTGCCAAGAAAAATCGTAAAGACGACTTTGATTCTTTTACAACCCACGAGCGGGAGAATAAAACCGGTCCCACCATATGCCGCTTCAAGGAACAACTTTCCTCACCTCTGATTAACTCCACGCAGAGGCGCAAGTCCTTCCTGCCGCTCATCGCTTACAAACATTTAAAGGCGAGCGAGAACGCTTCGAAATGTCGGAGGGCGCCGGAGACGCTGACGCGCCCCTCCCAGCGCCCGACTGGCTAAACCGAAAGCGAGAAAGAGCAGCTCTGCGGCACGGAGGCTGCCCCTGAGCGTTCTGTGCCACCGGTCTCTGCAAGCCACTTTGCCAGGCTTAACCCTCGCCGGGTGCACCCTCAGCACCCGGCCTTCAGCTGGTTGCGAGCCTCTTGGCCGCGCTTCCCGAAGCCTCGCTGTAACTGTGTAGCCCCTGTCGTCCAGGAAGCAATTCCCAGACTCCGAACGTGCATTCTTCCTCAGAAGCGGCCTCGGGCTCCAAGAGAAACAAGCAGGAAACCGTGAAGACGTCTGAGCGCTCCGAGCTCGTGGCCGCTGCTCTTGTGGCGAAGGTAGGCTAGTCTAGCAGTCTCCAACTATCTCTCCCACCCCACTCCGGTCAGTTAAGCGGCTCTCAAAACAGCCCCGCTCACTCAGTTGCTGCCATTGGCTGGCGAGTGGGGCAGCTCTAGCGCAGAGCCACTCCCGTCAACTCTGGAGGCGGCCTACAGCGCTCTTCGCCTTCCAAGCTGGGGCACGGCTCCTGCAGGGAATCTTGGCCCAGGCCGCTAGAGAGACAAACTCAGCTCGCTACTAAAAAGGGTAGCCAGCGCCCGGCAGACCAAACTCCACTTCACGACTCTGTTGCCGCCAAAAGCAACGCCCTTAGCGACCAGCGACCTTTTGGAGGGAACTTTTCAGTCTCCGCAATCATAGTGGAGCGTAGCTGTTTACAAGATGCCGGATTTTAAACGGTCTGAAAAGCTGAAAGTCCCTCTCCCCGCGTCCACGGGGATGCACTCTGCGCCTTCTGTTGGTCTCACTAAAAAGTCTTCCTGATCTTCAAGTTGGCCAGCCATTTATGGAAACGCAGTAAAGTGTAGAGGCTGCTGATGTTCACGTTGGAGACTGTCGTTTTAGCTCCAGTTCTTTGGATATAGTCACACTCTGCATTTTCACTCTTACCAGCTTCAGCCCCCAGTGTACTCAATGGGGATACTGACTTGGGTTTCAGAATGTTCTAGTAGGTGAAACATTTGGAACATAAATACCATGATTATCAAAGGTCAAAAGGCCATAAGATACCAGAGATGTGCAGGGTGAGATTTAACTGTGTAAAAATAAAATGTAATCAAGAAAAGCACAAAGTGGGCCCTGGTCTACAAAACCATATGCTGGAATTTATTTATTTATTTGTATTTTTGTCCTGCCCTCCCCTTGACGGGCTCAGGGCAGGTTCCAACAATGTAAATAAATACAACAATAAAAATACTATATAATTAAAACCACATTAAAACATGTAAAACGTACAGCTCTAATAAAAGCCAGATACCTCAGTGGTTAATAGTACTGGGAATAAGTTTCCCAGAGATCTGTCAAGTTTAGGATCTTAAACCCAGGCTGTAAATAGGGGCCAACCCAAGCTGTAAATGGGGCTGACCCAAGGAGGGGGATGCCTGCTGCCTCAACGGAAAGCTCAGTGGAAGAGCTCCATCTTGCAGGCCCGGTGGAATTGTAATAAATCCCGCAGGGCCCTGATCTCAGTCGGGAGCTCATTCCACCAGCCAGGGGCCAGGGCCAAAAAAGCCCTGGCTCTGGTCGAGGCAAGTTGGGCGTCCCTGGGGCCAGGGACCTTAGTGGTATCCAGACCAGAGAGGGTATGTAGAACCAGTGTTCAGTTGCAACATGCTATCGTCTGGCAATAATGTAATAATTTTCACATGTGGACATATTTTCAAACATTCATTTGCAGGAATGGGGGAGAATCACAACAAACTCTTGTAAATCACCATGGTTGGAAAATATAATGTATGAACTGTCTCAGCAACAAGAGACTAGCTCCTTTCAAGTGACCATTTTAGACTAATTGTGCACTCTCAGAAAAATTCAGAGAAGTGTACTGATATGGCAAATTGTTATCTCAAAACTGGGCAAAATGTTCAGAAATGCCTTTTACAAAACTGTAGCTCAACCACAGACTTGTGAGAATCTGTATTAAATGGAGATTATCAATCAATCCAGATACGTTTGACTTTTGGGGAAACGGGGATGTGTTTTTCCTCAGAGAGAGGAAGAATATAAGTGATCCCACTTCCCTCAAAAGAAGCATGCTTAGAGTTGCATTGTTTGGTTATCTTTATATTCTGTATGTTATATAATTTTTTTTTTGTTTTTACCCTCTGGTGGCAGCAACCTATGAGTATAAAAAAAGGATTTTGATTTATTTGCTTATAAGCCTAGGGCTTTTTTTCCTCTTAAGCAAGTCATTGGGTGTATTATGGAGTATTTAAGAAGTTATGTGTGAAGAAGCGAATTGTAGGGTGTGGAAGTGTTGTTTCAAGGTGCTAATATTTAAGGAATGCTCGTGGCAGAAGATTTTTACAATTCTTTACCACACCTAGTCATGCTGAAGAAACACCCTGCAGTAATAGTTAAGATGCATCCATATTAGTTGCAAATCATAGCAAAGGGCCAGTTAGAACTGGATATTTGTGATTTGTGCAGCATGCAGGAAGAATTATGTTTTCCACTTTTCCAGATACTGAATATTTATTTAGAAAATGTATATGTCTCCTCACCAGAGACTTGTGTGAGGTGAATTATCAGTATTAAAACAAGTCAGGGGCATAAAAACAGCATAAAACATCCAGCAGCTTAAAATTATATCCATAAGTGTGTTCTTTGGCTAGAAGGAGACCATAAAAACAGCTTTAAAAGATGGAACCACTCAGTTAAAAGCCTGCATTAAAAATGTTTTAGCCTAATGCCTGAAGGACAGTAAGGTATGTTTCACACAAGCTTTTAAGAGTATGATAGTCAAAGGCAAGGTGTTACCACTTACGAAAAGCCTTTCTCTGGTTGTCCTCTCCCTCAGGAGATAGCACAAAGAGCAGCAGGTGTCCCTTCAAGTACCCTCCAACCATTTAGGGCAGGAGTGTCAAACATAAGGCCTGGGGGCCAGAACCGGCCTGTCCAGGGCTCTTATGTGGCCCATGAGCAACTGGTGCAAGGGAGGGAAGAGAAGACTGCTCAGGGAGAGGAGTGGGTGGAGGCAGAACAAACTTATCTGCAGCAGTCAAGCAATGTGGGAGCATCTGCCCAGTGCTGCATCACTGGCTCTCCAGTCCGCCCATGTGGGTTTTCCTCTACACCCCCTCCCAGCCCATGGGGCCTTGCAGTGAGGATACATCCCAAATGACAATTATTATATAGAGAGATCTGGCTCACGTAACAAATGAGTTCGACACCTTTGATTTAGGGCCTTAAAGGTAAGAACAAGTACCAAGTAGACATAAATAGTTTAATTTAACTATATAGCCACGCTTAAAGTAGACTGATCTGGGCAGGTACAGAATGTCAATAAGAAACTGATCAAATTGGTACCCCCCCCATCTTCTGCTTTGAGCCCCCCAGGTGGAACTGTTAAGAAGTTAATGTGACTCTCACCCTTGTATACAGCTTACCATTCGACTGAGGGTACCATCTTGAGTCATGAGAAAGAGACTTCACCAGTGAAAAAAATAAATCCCATCACTAGTTCTCTTTTCAGAAAACCTTTTAATTGTATTCTTTCCATTTTACAGATTTAAGGCTGAGATGATGTACCCAAAGCCACAGTTCTTACATCACAGCACAATCCAATGATTTTGTAATAATGCTGTATTAAAAGTGAAAGTGGATTTAGTGCCTTTACTGAAGCTACTGTGTTTGTAGGAACCAATTACCAAAATCTTAACATGTATACATTCCTATTCTTCATCTATTAAGCTTAAAATATTTTAAATAAAATATTTTAAAATTGTCTCTATATCCTTATTTTCAGAGTGTAGTAGATAAATCAAATGTATATTTCATGGTTAATTACCTACTTTCCCATTAACATCTTCCCAGAAGAAGTGGGAGATGCTATTATTCTGGAAGGTTTGGATATATTTGTATTGAATAGAATCCTTTTTATCTTGTCTGGCATGGGGAACTCTCAGACCTGGGCCTGATTTTTGAAGTGTAGGTGGAGGCGTATACATATACACACTCACCCTTTCTGCACAGATCTGACCTTGATCTATGATTTGGTAACAAACCAGACTTGATAATTATAATGTACTCTGCATGGGGTTTGACTTATGAAAACAATTCAAGTGTGCAGTGGCCTATTTTTGTGCAGAGTGGATATAGGGGAACATAGGCAACTTATTGTAAAATAAACACCATTTGCTACAGATTTGCTTGTAGTTTCAGTTCAGACTTTAAGCCCTTCACGGCCAAACACCTACATCCTTGAAGGACCATCTCACACTTTGAGCCCAAGGACCAATTAACCTTCAGTCAACAAGAATTCCTGACAGTTCCATCTTGGTATCAGATTACATGCCAGAGCAAAAGCTTTTCCCTGTACAGGCTCCAACTCTCTAGAATTTTCTTCCACAAAGTTAGAAGAGTCAGCTCTCAGATTTTCATGGTGTGTATGTGTGTGAGCATGTGTGCAAGGCCTTCCTTTTTAGACTAGTTTTAATCTGCTTTTGTGCATTCAAAGTGTCTTATTCCAAGGGCAGAGAGGTACTAATTCTATATTTACTCCATCATGTCTTGGCTTTAACTGTCAGGATTAAAATCCATAATGTCAATGGGTTGCGTACTGTTTTTAATGTTTATAAGCCCCCTTGAGTTTAAGGAAGGTGCTATGTAAATTCTCTGAGAGTGCTTCAACCTGTTAACGTGGACTGTTTTGCCTCTTGTGTATTTAAGATTTCAGCAGTTTTGTAGATCGTTTGCTAATATTTATAGAATAAAGCTGCATTTGGAGAGTGACTAATGAGCACTGTGAGAAAGTATTGCAATATTCAGAACAGACACACGAAGAGTAATATCCTTGCAGTTTGGAATACTTTAAATTAAGGAGATGCCACAAATGAGAAATATCCCTCACCTTTTGGTGAAGACTACCATCAGATATTATATCTCATTTGTTCCTCAAGGTAAGTGACACCTCATCCAAGCCAGTCACTTACTAGCTCAATGAGAATCTACTCAGGCTCTCTTCTTTCTATTATTCTATTGTCATTGCTTGCCCCAAACATATTATCAAAGATAATTTTATAGTACTATAAAAGACCCATCAGCTGAGATACATCCCAAACCACCCTGCTAAGGTTTCCTTCAAGCCACTGCAGCCCAGATCCATTTTTAAGAAGGTCAATCTTTAAGAATGGGAGATAACTGTTAAAGTACTTTATTACACTGCTAAGAGTTAAGCAAAGATTTAAGAGTCTTACAATGACTTCAATTTGTGAGCCTAATGTTGATCTGCAATATTTTAGGATGCTTCTTCCTTCTTCCCATCCTTGTTCTTTGGCTGTGGTCACATGGAGCATTAGCCACGCTGCAGAGACGGAAGATAGGCGGATTTTCTGGGCGTGATGACAGCACCACATCTGGGGAGCGTAGAGCTCCTGTGGCGAACCCAAGGCGTCCCGCCAAAGATGCGGGGTAAAAAGCTAGTACCTCCAAGGTACTAGTTTCCGGAAACCGCGGGGCAAGGGCGGGCGTCTGATCTCGTTTCTGGTGGTAGTTCTGGCGCCCGCCCATGTCCCCTCACAAAAAGGGTTCCCCCCCCCAAGTCTCAATTGATGCGCACAAGCACCCAACGGAGCATGCGCACACTTCAGTTAAACAAATGAACAAACCTCGACCAATCGTCAGGCTGCATTGCCTGCGTCCATG